TCCACGGGTAATCCCTGCACCGCCGTGCACTCCCCTGAGTGCCAAGCTTGCACGAGGAGCATTTGCAAGAGAGAAACTTATCCCTGGCAGGGAAAAATCAACGGTGCCTATAGCCGATGTGGGTTCGTGCTCCGTTCCACGGCAGAGGAACCCGGCCACGAAGGCGGAGCGAGCCAACAGAGCCATGCCCCTTCTGCCTCCTGGAGGCCGCCGCCCACTTTTGAATTTCCCCTTTCCCGCGTTTTCGCCCCCCACCGCGGGAGCGGCCGCCGCCGTCTCTTTTCAAGCAACGCGACCTGGGATCCCCACTAACCTCGCGAGGCGCCTCCACCCGCAAAACGAAAAAGTCCGAGCGCCGCAGCCGGCGATGGTCAAAGTCAGTCCACACGGAGAGCTCGAGTCGAGTAGAGGCTAGTCCAGGTCAGTTGGCCGGAGATCCATCGATCCGTCGATCACCCCTCTCGGCTCTCTCTCACCTGTCAAAAGAACGCGTCGCGCGTCGTTCACTGCGCGCGTTCGTGTGATCGTCCACCACGTCATCTGGGGAAATCGTCGTTGGTCAGGAATCGTCTGAGATTTTCAGACAGTTTAGACGCACAGTTTTTCTTCTCCTTCATTTTCTCTTCGAGACTGAGACTGTGTGTGGATGGGACTGTGACAAGTCAGTGAGACAGTTTGTCCAGAGAGACAGTCACGGACAATTGGACTTTGTTTCATCTCTCGTGCCACCGCGAGAGGATCCGCGACAGAGGTATTCTTCTCATACCACGAAGATGAGAGTATAAGAAGGTCGCAGAAGATTCGTTCAAAGTGGCTCAGAGTGAAGGGGAGATAAAGATTCGAAGAGGTGTTGAATCGCGATCCAAGAATGACAGTACTAAGGATGACATCCCCGGTGACGCCTCCATCGAGCAGTCCAGGTTCCAACGAGGCACAGGCGCCCCAGCAAGCGAACGCGTCGAAACCAGTAGCGCATCGATTGAGCTTCTCCGTCGCGGCGTTGCTGGCCGACACCAAGAAGTCGGATTCCTCCAGGCAGGAGGCGTCCTCCGTGTCACCCAGCTCCTCACCGTTGACCTCTTACTCCCCCGTGAGACAAGAACAACTGCTGCCGAACTCCACGTTGCAAAAGTATCCAGGTGACTACAGATCGAGGTACCTGTCGGTGTCTCCCGGTATCCAGGAACACAGACCGACGCAATACACGTCCTGCGACACGTCCAGAAGCTCCCTAGTAGACGGAAGGACGTTAACCAGGTTCCCTGAGATCGAGGTCGACACGAGGGTGAAATCACCCGGGTCAAACCAACGGCCCAGACCTCTCGACTACGTGGTGCAAACCTCCTCCGCGGACTGTGGATCCACGTCAGAAGTCGTGCAATGTTCCTCGCCTCCGAAAGTCCCCACCTCGGGGGCCGGTCATTCGGACTTTGGGCCTCAATCGCCGAGAAGCAGCTGCCACGAGGGAGCCAGGTCCAGATCCTCGGAACCGGATGCATCGGAGGACATCGAGGACGAGGACGAGAACAGCCTGGTCGACGTGGAGGATCTTCAACACCAGGCGAGCAGTCCGACGCCAGTCAGACCGACCCCGGCGTACATCGGCGGATTTTCCAGTTTGGGAGGCATCTCCGGCATCCCGGCCGGGCTACATCCGGCCGTTTGGGGTGGCGGGCATCAGGGTGCAGCGGCTGCGGCGGCGGCGGCGGCGGCGGCGGCTGCTGCCGCTGCCACCGCGAGCTTCTTCCCCTCGCACTTCTCTCATCACGCGCCATTAAACGGTGAGTACCGGCACCACCAGCCACACAGTTTTACCCTTCTGTGCTTACCTTTTGTAAGCCGCGCGGCGCTGTTTTCACCCGTTTGTCGTTTGCCATTTGCCGGACCGACGACAACGCGTGGCGTCCTGGCCGGCCGCCAATCGGCTGGCTCGTCGCGTTTTTTCATTTTTCACCGGCGCGAGAAGACAACTGTGCGCCGACTGTGAGGTAGCAAGTGTCACGCTCACGAGACGAAAGGCGAACGCGATATAGCACTCGTGTAGCAGCTCGTTCAATGGAGCCGACGGCGTTCGACGTTCCTCGCCCTCTCCGCGCCGTGGTTGTTCCGAGGATAAAATTAGCCAAGCCGCGCAACGGAAGTCCCTCCGCGTGCCACCGATCGGTCACCGATTCCTCACCGCCATCTATTTTCGCGTGCACCGAAATTCTGATCGGCGAAAGGTATTCCGGGAGAAAGAGAGAGAGAGAGAGAGAGAGAGAACAATGACAATAGTGTGCAATTGATTTACATTTAACCAGTGAACGCGAGTTGTCGCTTTTCACAACAATGGAAAATATTTCAAACGCGTGAGAAGTTAGATACAAGCTGCTAGAGTAAAGCAGAACGAGACAGCCGATGTGAAAATTACGTCTTTTCAAATTCTACTCCTTCTTCTATGAAGGTTCTTCGTTTCGTTACAAGACTAATATTTCAAAAAACGAACTTTCTAATTTTTCTCCCCGTTTTAACGTCAGAAATTCCCGGCAATTAGCAATTTGAGATTTCCTTCATTCTCACCGGTCAATGAGTTACTAGAAAAGCGAAAGAAAACTTGCCGCTAATGTGTGTTGATCAAAGCGATCGATCGTCAGTTCCCAGCGAGAATGGAAAATATTGGAAATTCTATCGATAGTCGAAAGTAGTTCAAAATAAATGAAAACCTTGAAAAGAACGGCTTGAGAAGCTTTCTACTTTTCGCAATAAGATCGTGTCTGCGACGAGTAAATTACGAACAGCGTCGAAGTTAAGTACCCGTCAACGACCGAGTGGAATTGAAATACCGAACGAGGGAAAATGTTGCAGAAAAACGGACTAATTGAGACACGCGGCGACGTTATTAGCGATGGAAAACGTCAGACAAGGCCTGGAAAGAGGCAGCCACCTAAAATCACCGCGAAAGGAATGCAGCTAGCTCTCGGACGACTCGCCGCGATTGAATCATCGTTAACACTAATTATTGAGGTCGCGGCTTGATAATTGCGCGGGGCTCTCATTAAAGGAGGCAATCAAAGTTTTCTCGCTTCGTCGGAGCGCCGGCCACGCAGAGACACAGAAACACAGGGAACACAGAGGGCCGGTTCTTGTCTTCGGCTCCGTGGAATCCGAGACGACAGACAATGGGCGATTATTACAAAAAAGGTGTTGCAACTGTAAATCGTCAGTGTTGCGCCAATGGAAAACTACTCTTGCTCTTTCTTTCTTTTCTCTCTTCTCTCTCTTTTTTTTTTTTTTTTTTGCGTCGTCGTTAACCTACTTTTTTGCCCGCAGCCTATTTTTTTGTTTTCACAATTCGTCGACTCTCAATTAAGGCGAATTAAGGGAATTTTATGAAATTACAATTAGTTCGGATGAATATTAATGGATGACGACAAAGTATAAATATTTATACTGCGTAACGAGCTCCAGTTTTTCTTTCCCTGATAAACGCAACTTTATTAAATTGAAAGCAATTGATGAAATATGTATAGATCCGTTTAGGTAAAATGTTCTATTCGTTACATCTTTTATTTTTTTTTTTTTTTTTTTTTT